TAAATTAATGATCTACACGTAACATTTGAATACCAAAAATTAGTTCTCAAACATCAGTAGTAAGTTAAAGAATAAGATGTTCTAGCTATTACATCATCAGGAAGGGGGTCATCACAAACATGACTAAGGAGCAAAAATTGAACCAAACTTAGGATATACTCTAAGCTAAATTCTGAACTGAAGATAAAACAATAATAAACTTTGTTTGCACAGTTTGGAATTGAAGAAAAAACATCAACGGTAACTTTAATCGAGACCAAGGGTCACGATGGAGATGACCAAAGAGCAAAAATTGTACCAAACTTAGGGCATACTCATAGTTAAATTTTGAAATGAAGATAAAACAATAATAACCCTTGTTTGTACATATCCACGTATATGCAAATCGACACAAGTAAACGAAAAATTCAGAAAAGAAGAAAAAGAAATCACGGTAATTTTAATCATGACCAAAGGTCACTATAGAAAAGACTAAAGAGCAAAAATTGCTACCAAACTTAGGGCATATGCTAAGTTAAATTTGGAAATGAATATAAAACAGTAATAAACCCTGTTTGTACAGATCCACGCATATGCAAATCACCACAAGTAGGCTTAAAGTTCACAAATGAAGAAAAAACAACCAGGTAACTTTAATCGTGACCAACGGGTACTATGGAAATGAGCATAATCCACGCAAACCTACCAAACACTGGGTTATATGTAACAAACTGTAACCCATAAGACAACCATACCCAGCAAGTCTTATTGATAAAAAAATAACAACAATACCAGTCCGTATTATTTAATCCATTGTATTAGACAATCACAACACATGCATTACAATGAACATAACTAAAAGTAAATTTGGAGGAAGAATAACGTTTTCTTCTATATCATTTTGAGAGTAACACAACACATATATATACACAAAGGCCTCCTCAACAGAAAAAGGAAAGTAATCTACGGAAGAAAAGGAAACTAGAAACTAACATCCCTAAAAATCTGCTATACACCATGATCCCGTTTAACTTCCCAAAATAATCGGGAAATATAATAAGTCAATCATTCCTAATATGGAATTATTGATATTGGGTAATAACCAAATATTCCTACACTCCCCCTCAAGCTGGAATGTAAATATTTGTCATTCCTAGCTTGTTCACCAAGTCTTCAAAATTCAGTTTGTGGAGGCTTTTTGTCAAGATATCAGCAGTCTGTTCTTGGTTGGGATGTACGTCATGCAGAAGCTCCCATTGTCAATTTTCTCTTTGATGAAATGACGGTCCACCTCAACGTGTTTCGTTCGATCGTGATGAACTGGATTGTAGGCAATGCTGACAGCTGCCTTATTGTCACAATAGAGCTTTATGGGAGAACTAATGGAGATCTTTAGTTCTTCCAGTAGTCGTCCAAGCCAAATTCCCTCACATAATGACCGAAACTCTGCCTCCGCACTGCTCCTTGCTACCACGGGTTGCTTTTTGCTTCTCCATGTCACTAAGTTGCCCCAAACATAAGTACAATACCCTAATGTTGATCTTCTTCACCCGCCCAGTCAGCATCAGTATAGACTTCCACAGCCTTATGATCTCCCTTTCTGAAGAACAATACCCTTCCAAGAGTATTTTTCAAATATCTCAGGATCCTAAAAACTGCCTCGAGGTGTCTTTCTTTGGGTGAATGCATAAATTGACTAACAACACTCACCGGAAAGGCTATATCTGGACGGGTATGTGACAGATAGATAAGCTTGCCTACTAGTCGTTGATATTGCTCTTGATCAATCTCCTTCCTGCCTTCAAGTCTAAGCTTGGCATCAGGCTCCATAGGTGTCTCGGCTGGCTTGCAACCCAACATGCCTGTATCTTGAAGAAGGTCAAGAATATACTTCCTCTGAGAAACAACAATTCCAGAACTGCTCCTGGCAACTTCCATGCCCAAGAAATACTTGAGAGTACCTAGATCCTTTAACTCAAATTTGCTAGCGAGATACCTTTTTAATGATTCCAGCTTGGGTTGGTTATCTCCTGTAACAATTATATCATCTACATACACTATAAGAATTGCTCTTTTACCATCCTTAGAGTGTTTGTAGAAGATAGTGTGGTCGGATTGTGCTTGTGTAAAACCTCGTTCCTTCACAGCTTGAGTGAACTTCTCAAACCACTCCCTCGGAGACTGCTTCAAGCCATACAGTGATCTTTTCAGCTTACACACTAGTTTTCCTTTCTTCTCAAACCCTGGAGGTGGATCCATATACATTTCTTCATGCAAATCACCATTTAGAAAAGTATTTTTTACATCCAGCTGCTGAAGTGGCCAATCAAGATTTGCAGCCAGAGATAAGAGTACCTTTACAGAGTTGAGTTTGGCTATGGGGGCAAACGTTTCCTTGTAGTCTATACCATATGCTTGAGTGTAAAGCCTTTGACAACCAGCCTTGCTTTGTATCGGTTGACACTACCATCTGCATTAAACTTGACTGTAAATACCCACTTGCATCCCACGGTTTTTTTCTTGCTATGCAACTCCACAATCTCCCACGTACCGATTTTTTCCAAGGCTCCCATTTCTTCCTGAACTGCTAATCTCCACTTTGGATCTGCAAGAGCCTCCTTAATATCTCTTGGTATCTTAACATTTGTTAGAGCCGTAGTGAAGGCTGAAAAGTTGGGAGACAATTTCTCATATGAGATAAATTTTGAAATTGGATGATGTGTGCATGATCTTGTCCTTTCCTGAGAGCAATAGGCTAATTCATATCTGAAGTGTTGCTCAAGTCTACATCAACAGAACTACTAGTAGACTCGGAACCTTGGAGGGGGACTGGTTCAGACTTCTGACATTGCTGGGCATCAGGCTTGCTACTACCTTGAGAACGATTCCTGCGTGAATAAACAAGCAGCTGGGGTTTTTTGGAGTTATGATAGTTATCTTCCCCTATTTCCAATACTTTTCCTTGGTCAAGTTGTGGCATAATAGGCATAATAGGCTCAGTAGGCATAATAGGCTCAGTAGGCTCGGGTAGACTAGGTAAAGTAGGTGGTGGCAAGGGCATATATGTTTGCTGATCAAATTATTCCCAAGATCCATCTTCTTGTAGAGTCTCCCCCTGAAGATGGGACATAGGGAAATACGGTTGAGTTTCATGAAAGGTAACATCCATTGACATATACATACGACGAAAGGAAGGTGAGTAGCATTTATACCCATGCTGTGTGGAAGAGTACCCAATGAAAACACACTTGGTTGCTTTTGGATTAAGTTTTGAACGATGTTGAGAGTGAATATGAACAAATGTTGTGCAACCGAAGATTTTAAGGGGAACCGAGGAAAAAGATCAAAACATTGGGTAGGTTTGTAGAAGAACAGACATAGGGGTTTGGAATTGGAGAATCTTTGATGGCATACGATTTATAAGATGATAGGCTGTTAAGATGGCTTCTCCCTAGAGATATTTTGGAACATGCATTGTGAACATTAAGGCTCTAGCAACTTTAAGTAGATGACGATTTTTTCTTTCTGCTACACCATTTTACTGTGGTGTATCAGTGCAAGAACTCTGATGAATGATACCATTAGTTGCTAGATAATCACTTAAGATAGATTTATAATACTTTGTTCCATTGTCGGTCCTCAAGACTTTAATTGAGGTTTGGAATTGATTTTTTATCATTGAGTGAAAATTTTAGAAGATTCTTGAAACCTCAGTTTTTTCTTTAAAAAGATAGACCCAACATACTCTGGTATGATCATCGATAAACGTAATGAACCATCTAGTTCCCGTGACATTTTTTACACGGGAGGGCCCCCAAAGATCATTATGAATTAAGGTGAATGGATGAGACTCTATGTATGGTTTGGCTGGATATGATGTACGTGTGTGTTTGGCCAATTGACAAATATCACAATGAAAGGAACTGGGATTTTTATTGATGAATAAATTTGGAAACAAACATTTGAGATAATGAAAATTGGGGTGGCCTAACCTACGATGCCACATCATTACATCTTTATTGGAAGCAGAAGAAATATTCTCGACTATTGTAGCTTGTTTATCCACGGTTTTATCATTCTTAAGTCGTAGAGTCTGCCATTCTGCTTAGCAATGCCAATCATCTTCTCTGATCCCTGCTCCTGTATTTGACAAGAAGTAACAGAAATATTAGCAGTACAATTAAGGTCTTGAGTGAGCTTGCTAATAGACACCAGATTGCATGCTAATTTTGGGACATGGAGTACAGAATGAAGCACAAGTGTGTCGGATAAGCGGATAGATCCTTTTCCAGCAACAGAAGAGAAGGTTCCATATGCTAGTTTTACTTTTGAGCTCCCATGGCATGGAGTATAGGAGTAAAAAAGAGATTGGTTACCTGTCATGTGATCGGACGCGCCAGAGTCAAATATCCAAAGAATTTGATTTTCTACATGAAGGGCAGTACCTTGATGAGCAAAACTGTTTGTTGCTGTGCTAGGATTAGTCATGGTTTGCTGACTCAGAAGCTTGAACAGTTGTTCGAATTGGTTTTTGTTTAAGAAGACTCCAGTTGACTCACTGTTGCTGTTGTTGGTGTCCTCTGATTTTTCCTCTGTAGCAACTTGAAACCCCTTGCCTTGAGGCTGTTTCCTTGGCTTTGCATCAGCAGGTCTTCCATGGAGGTCCCAACATCGTTCTTGGGTATGGCCAAGTTTGTTACAATGAGAGCATCGTGGGCGCTAAGTCGACTTTTGATCACCATATGGTCTGTTAACCGTACTTTTCGTGATAATAGCAGTGTTCTCAGCAGGTTTTTCACCTATAGAGACCACAGATGAGTCATTTTTTCCCCAAGCATCACTCGGTGTCTGCTCTCTTCACGACGTACTTCTGCAAAAACTTCATCAATGGAAGGTAGTGGTCTCCGGCCTAGAATTCGTCCTCGTACCTCATCAAGTTCTTTGTTTAGCCCAGCCAGAAAATCATACAACCATTCCTTTTCTAAATGTCTTTTAAACTTGACGTCGCCTTCAAGATCACCTCAGTCCGCTTCATAGTGCATATCCAATTCTTGCCATAGGGTCTGCAACATATTGTAATATTCGGTGATATCCAAATTTCCTTGCCGAATATCCTTGAGTTTACTCTTTATCTCGAAAACCTGTGAGGCATTTTTTAGATCCGAATAATTCTCTCTGACAGCATCCCATGTGGCCTTGACAGTGCGTAGAAATAAATAGGTGCAGCTGATATGTGGCTCCATTGAGTTAATCAGCCATGCCATAACAATGGAATTATTGAGTTCCCAATTTCCATAGGTCGGATTCGTCGTATCAGGACGCCAAACCTCACCTGTGATGTAGCCAATTTTTCCTCTCCCTCGGATCACCATCAAGACCGATTGGGACCACTGGAGGAAATTCTTGCCGTTTAACTTGTGATTCATGATTTGCAGTGACGATACTTCTCCAAAGGACTGCGCAACCACGGACGATGTGACTGGGTCGGATGTGGTAGATGATGACACATCCTTAACAGAACTGGTTGTCTCCTTCTCTGAACTCATTGTCGTGAGAACCACGGTCAAGACGATGAAGACGAGAAGACAAAAAAAAAATTTTAAGAGTATGGCTCTGATACCATAAAAGTAAATTTGGAAGAAGAATAACGTTTTCTTCTATATCATTTTGAGAGTAATACAACACATATATATATATACAAAGGCCTCCTTAACAGAAAAAGGGAAACTAGTTTACGGAAGAAAAGGAAACTAGAAACTAACATCCCTAAAACTCTGCTATACACCATAATCTCGTTTAACTTCCCAAAGTAATCGGGAAATATAATAAGTCAATCATTCCTAATATGGAATGATTGATATTGGGTAATAACTGAATATTCCTACAATAACTTTCAAAAACCCATATGGAAAGAAAGATAACAACAACTAGTTTAGGGTTTTTACCTCTTCTTCAGCATCTGTCATTACTGGGGCCTTTTCATGTTGGCCTTTTGGCCATCTCCTTTTCCTTTTCCTTTTTCTTTTTTCTCTGGGGCCTTTTCTTTCGGCGTTTCTTTCTCCGGAGGATTTTTTTCGGGCATATTCACCAATCTCTTTGATCTCCTCATTCCATGGGTTTCTGCGATTTCTTCCGTCCGAGATGACTTCAGTCTTGTTTTACCTATTTCTTGATAAAAATCACAGATTTAAATGTTAAAGAGGTGAATTTTTTGGGTGGTTTTCTACTAATTAAACGGTGGGTTTTCCCCTTTTCTTCTTCTCCGCCTTTCTTGGTTCTTATCTCTCAGAATATCAACGGGAAGAGACGATTTTCAAGGGTTCATGGGAGAATGATTGAAGACGGTTCGGTTTCTCTCTCAGATGTTCTCTCTCTTTTTATAATTTTGAATTTTGAAATACATTACTCTTTAGAATTGTCGGGCCCACAATAAAAGAACCGGGAAAGGATAAGAGTATTTCTGGTAATGCATAAACATTAGTGACTCGTGTGACACAGTCTGCATGCCAAAAATAAAAGTTTAAAAAAACAGTGCTATTTGTAAGATAATTATTCGAGTTTGTTCTATTTTTTGTAAATAACCCTTTTATTGAAGACTCGGGCTGCCCCAGACCCTCAAAAGCCCAAACATAAATTTTGATAGAATAGTGGACTAAAAATCCTCGCCAAGAAAACCTAGAACAATTAAACTTAGAGAGTTGTTTTGGTGGCAAAGAGCAAATACATGTTCTATTAGAGGTTCTTTTTCAAATTGCTGGTCAAGTTTTTAAATGCGTCATTGTCAACTCATTTTTAACTTTTTCAAACATACCTATTCATTTTTCAAACATAATTACAAGAATACCATTCTTCCTATCTAACTCCCAAACCACGTTCACTCCCTTTTTTGGCAGTCAATATTCGGCCAAGTGGGTTGACATAGGATTTAAATTTGTGCCCTCTGTAAAATTCGTAAGTTATACGTATACATACACTCGAGCCTTAATGAGACTAAGTAGCACATAATAAATTTACTACAATTCTTGTTTTTTCCCCTCTCCGTGACTCTTTTTATTATTTATTTATTATTAGTATTATTTATTTTACTGTCATTCCATTTGCCTATGACAGCATGTATCTTTCTCGATGAAATTTTTTCTTCTTTTTTTTCCCTAATATTTTAATTCATACAATAAAACAACATAGGCACGTTATATTTTGTATATGATTTTCAATTAGCTTCCTATTATTTATATTGTAATAAGTATATATCTTATACGTTATTGTTATTGTTTGCAATTGTGTTGACTCTTTTTCATTCTCTTCTTATACGTAATCATGAATTTAGTTATCTTATCTTTATCTTACAAATAAGAGAAAATGAGGTAAATATCTTTAGATTTTAAAAGGAAATACCACATATTTTAAGTTTGGATTGACATATGTCAATATACATAAATTATTACAGAGAATACCACATCCATGTCATCACACTATGTTTGTAATACTAAATATAACCTTAGAATATTGGTCGGTATCCAACGACGATACCACCTGAATACCTAATGGTTACCGATCGATATTTGCTGATTACTGCCGTCACCGACAACAATGGTGATACCTAATCGGTATCATCTTACATGATGATCGGTATTTGCCTGAATCCTAAATAGTATCCATCCCGAATACCGAACATATACCAATCTGTATCTACCAGTATTCACTGTTACTAACGGTGGTGGCGCTGCTGAAATACTAAAAAAACACCAAAAATAATAAAATACATCAAAATCACTAAAAATTCTTGAAAATCACAAAATTACTCTCTCTTTGGAAAATCTCTCTTTCCCTCTCCTCCCTCGAGAACATCAACTATGGTGACGACAAACAAATGATAATCTCTGTACGTTCTCTCTTCCAGCGAAACCATTGGTATCTAACCACAATACTGTTGGCATTTGGCAGTAATACCACCATAACAAACTAGATTTTATTACTAAAATACTCAAATAACCACCATAATTTACCAAAATCTCAAAATCACACACAACAAAAAGAAAGAAAAACACAAACATCACTCACGGTCACGAAAATAGAAATGCATAAAATAAGTGAAAACAATGGACGCGTTTGGAACTTGTTTGAAAATAATTTTGTGTTTTGTATGAAAATGAAAACGTTTTCAATCTCAGACATAAATCATTTTTAAAAATGCATTTGCTAGTTTTATCAAGAGATTATTTTCAGTATAAAACAACTCATTAATGTCTCTCTTTCTCTCTCTCTGCTTGAGAAAAGAGAAAACGAAAACAAAAAATGAAAAACGACTAAAAATTATTTTTCATTTCTCTCTCATTTTACACTAAACTAAAAAATCATTTTCATTTATGTTTTTTATTTTTATTACGACAAACGCCATTTTAAAAATATTTTTATTTATTCTTTCTCAAAAAACATGATTAATTCCAAACACGACCGATATATTCCCCTCATTGGCAAGTATACATAAGGATACCAAAAAGTATCCTAGCCGATATCTACAGGAAAATCACCGTTATTGGCAGCAATACAACATCACCATTGCCAGTGTATCCAACAAAATCACAAAATACAAACAACACCACAAAATCTTCAAATAATAAAGAATAACATAGAATCACAAAATCCACAAATGGCAAGAACCAAAAGATAAGGAGGAAGTTTCCGACTTGCGTAATCGTACGGTTTCGTGACTTTTATGCCTAAGTGATGGCATTGTGATCTGTTTGGCGAGGCAAAGACGATGGTTTATCGTTGAAGGAGGTTGATATACGGGAACGGTGCTCTCCTTGGCGCCGATCGGCTTTGATTTTGTCGCATAATCTCGCCGGTGAGAAGGAAGATGGCCGGCAACAGTGAGAGGTAAAAGAGAAGAGAGAGAGAAAGCGTTGACAGGGGCTGTGATGTTTGAACGAAAATCTCTAGTGCTCTCCAAGGCACAGATCAACATTGATTTGATGGGAAAATCTCGCTGGTGAGAAGAAAGATGGTCGGCAACAGTGAGAGGGAAAAGGGAAAAGAGAAGAGAAAGAGAGAGGTGAAACAAACGAATGACTGGTACACTTCACCGATTTGAGCTTTCAATTTTAAATTTCTACAGTTAAAAATTCTCAGAAAATATTACATCTAACTTTTTTTACTACAGTTAAAAATTTTCGAATAATATCACATCTCAACTCAAATTGAAAATTTGAATCTGCTCGGAACCCATCAAATGGAAAACAACCCTAATTAAAATGAAGATATTTTAGGCTTTTTATCCCAAACTTTGTTCTGCCACATGGCAAACAAACTGACAGTATTCCCTCTCATGGTATATGTCGATTCAGATCTGTTTTCCATGGCATTCCCCTTAAATTTCTCAATACCCTTTAAATAGAACCCCTTTTGATGTTTGGGTCTCAAGATTGGCTCATTGATTTCTATCTCTTTCGAATAAAATAAGTCAAAGGCCCAACATATATATTATCAAAATTACCTCTAATGGTCAAACAGTAATCTATAAGATTACCCTTAGGAAATTACTAGATGACCCCGGGAGGCAATCTTTGGTCATCGGCGCCAGCCGCAGGACGCTGGTCACTGGCCGCTGGTTGACAGTCATCGGCCACCGGCTGCTGGTCATAATCTGTTAGATTATATTTGTATTTTCAACTAAAAATAAGATGTTGTCTCCAGCTTCGGCATCGGTAGCAGGCGCTGACCGTCAGTCATAATCTGCCATATTATTTTTCTTATTTCAACTAAAAAATGACAGGTTGTTTCTGACACTAGCGTTGGTCGCCAATCATAATCTGGCAGATTATGCTTCATAATATGCCATATTATTTTTATATTTTTAGCCGAAAATGAAATGTCCCTGGCTCCGACATCTGTCACCGATTATGGATTCATAATTTGACATATTAGTTCATAATCTCCCAAATTATTTCTATTTTCAACAACAACCAAAAAAGGTTGTCCCTAACTCCACCGTTGATTGTCTGCGCTGATCATAATCTACAATATTATACTTTATAATCTGCCATATATTTTTCTTTCTTCAACTAAAAAATGACATATCGTCTTTGGCGTTGGTCGCCGACACTAGCTACCTATCATAATTTGCGAGATTATATTTCATAACCTGTTAGATTATGTTATATAATATGCAAGATTATTTTTCTTTTTTCAATTAAAAATGACAAGTTGCCTTTGGCGTTGGTCACTAGTCCCGAAACCTAACAGATTACTCCACCGGTCATAATTTGACAGATTATCTTCATAAGCTGTGTGATTATTTTTATTTTTTAAAAATGAGAGATTTTCCATAATATTTTACTTCTTTCAACCAATATCACTATGTTAACAATTAAATCACACATCATCATATCCAACCAAAAAAATCACAAAAGTCCTAAACGAAAAAAAAAATTTCCGCAAAGTCATCGGCACGAACAACGTCAATAGCGGATGAATGTTCTCCTAACATATCTAACAAATTGTTTGCTGACAAACTGGTTGAAAAACTGATTAATATCGTGGAGCACTGGTTTGCTAAAAAAAAAAGAAATTAATCAGAATCGAAAAGTAACGTTGACAATATATCGGATATCTCAATTTTTCCTTTTTCTGTGTTGATGGATTTCAAAATTTTATCTCTTGTTCTGGCATATTGAAGAGCCACCAGAGAAGCTGCAGGTGATGAGGACAAATTTTTCATCTCAAAACAATTAGGATGATTCAATTTTGAGATGGGGGACCCTTAACGTCTTGCCAAAATTTTCTTTTATTTTTGTCATTTTGCTTGTTTCGTGAAGCCTACAAGTGGAGTGTACTTTGTTTCTTGCCTTTTTATACCTCTACACTTGGTTTTTTGCTTACAACAAAGAGAAATTAAGGGTCTGTTTAGAGCATATATTAAACTGAGTGATTCTAATTTATTGGTCAGACTTGTGTAAAAAATAAAATTTTTAAATTTAAACTCTTTGTAAGATAAAAAATAATATAGCATAACCTAAATTATAGTTTAAATATACTTACTAAACAAGCCCCAAATATTTCTCTAATTTTTTTAATTAAAAACAAATGGAGGAGAAATATTAAATACAACAATAGGTCAATTCTTTTGCCGGCCTCGTTCACTTCGCAGATTCGAGTTTTTAATTCGAGCTGAAATGTGATATTTTTTGAGAGCTTTTCACTGTAGCAGAAAATTTTGATGTGACATTTTCTGAGAGCTTTTTACTATAGAAATATAAAATTGAAAACTTAAATCGGTAAAATGACATCTTCTCACCTTCTCGCCAAACTTTTTTTTTTTTTGGCTGGATTTCAACTCTCCCTTCTTCTTTGTTGCTGGATTTCAAAATAATAATTTTCATTAGGGATGATATCTCCCAAGAATCTAGAAAAAAAAATTGGGTACAGATCAATTAATGAAAGTTGGTCCAGGCAACTCATGACTACTAACTTTAAACAAAAACCACAACTATTGCAGAGTGGAAAACAAAATAAGAAATTAGGTGTCTAAAATTGAATGAAGAGTGATATGGAGGGGTTTTTAATTAATCGTGTGTTAGATTCATATAGACCTAGTGATAAAGGTCAAAAGAAAAAAAAAAAAGTCAGAACATTCAAATTAAGTAGGAAAAAGAATGGGAAAAAAAAAACAAAAAATAAAATAAATATGATTCACAGGTAATGGGAAAACAGAAGGTTCGTAAGGACTAGGGGTGTTGTGGGGCTCGGTACCAAATACTCAACCCAAATCCAAAAGTGCACAAAACTAAAACTGATAAGGTACATGACCACATCTCATTATTAAATTATAACAAATAAAGAAAATTGATGTACACTTAGAATTGACTTTTATTTTTTATTAATATTTTATTGACTAATATATAGTCATTTGACTAAAAAAAAATTAATTAAGATAAGTAGTAAAAATTTAAACTTATGCATTCTGAGAAATATTTGTCTCCGCTTTCAATTTAATGTGATTTTAACTAGATCTAACGATCAGAAACTAACTATATCGGTAGACTAACCTACCAGAGAAAGTCTCTATATATAAACATTAAAAAGAATATAAAGCTGCAACGAATTGAACTCTTGAAATCATAGATATTTATTACTCGAGATATAAACTAAAACAGATACACTAAATGCTTTTCTAAAAAAAACAAAACAAAACAAAAAAACAAAAAAACAAAAAGCAAGCAGACACGGAAGGTTCATAAGGAGTGGCGATAAAGGTCACCAAAGAATTTTGAAATTGAACTCCTATATTTATTACTCAAAGAATTTGAATCATTCACTAATATAAGAGTTACTTTCACATATAACTTTTTTCTCTCTTTAAAATTAGTCTTTATAATCAATTTTGTTTTATAAATAGTCTTTAAACTCAATAAGTATCTCATAAATAGTCATTTTATTAAATTTTAGATAAAAACTGTTAACTTTATATATAAATGGTTGTTGAACTATATTCTCTCTATAAAAATAGAGCCTTTGTTAAAAGTTGGCGCTAAATTTGATTCCTTAACCTAAAAGAAAAAATGACAAAATTAGTCAGTTTCTCAACAAATAGATATAAAAAAAATTAGGGAGAAAGAGAGAAATAGGCAAAGACTTGAGATGAATTAAAATTAATAGACCAATAGTTTACATAAGTTAATAAATAGACTAAATTACTATTTTTATCCATAATTTGTCTGGTTATGAACCATAACTTGACAAGTTATTGTCCATAATTCACGGTTTTTGTCCATAACTTGTCTGACTATGAACCATAACTTGACAAGTTTGTCCATAACTTATCTGATTATGAACCATAACTTGACAAGTTATGGCCTATTAATTTCTATGACTAAAAATTGGCCTATATACTTTCTTAAACTTTTCATATTAGCCTATTTTCTACTATTTTTGAAAAAATTAAGTATTATAAGTTTTACCAAGCGTAGTCTCTAAACTAAAAACAAAAGGTGATTCTATAAATACTCATTAAATTTTTAAATAGTCTAAAATAAACAATAAAATTTATCATTTTTGGTGATGGTAAAAGATTGTTATAAAATAATCATGGGATGCACTTTGTTGTATTATGGATTGTTGTTTGCACTTAATTACTTTTACACGTTTTTCGGGGAACTTTTTTCTCTTAATTTAGTGTTGAAAGATTCTAACGATGCGCAATATGAATACTGTCTTCTTAGTTAAATTTTGAATGTGTTGGGTTTCAACGTTTTGTTTTGTTTCGAATTAAATTTGTTTGTAATTTTATTTTTTATAGAAATTTGTTTTTTACGAATAAAATAGTAAAAAAAAATAAAGTGACAGATTAGGAGATTCTACAATGCAAAAGATAATTATAAAAGTAGACGTTTCTAAAATTATTATTAACATATATGATAATATGGGAACATTTATGAATATAATCACTTAAAAAAATTATCAAAGTTACATATGTGAATAAATAGATAAAAAAGAGTTAAATAAATGTAGCTAAAAAATCAATTTTAGTATTTTTTTTATTTTAGGAACTATATTCAGTACAACTTCTCATATTTAATGTTTTCTATTTATTTATTTAAAAAATGACTAATTTTAGCATTTTTTTAGTTTAGATATTAAATTTAGTATAACTTTTAATATATAGACTATTTCTAAAGAGAAAAAATAATTTAGAGACCTTCAATTAGATAAAATTAACAGTTAACGATTCATGAGATAAAATTGACTATAAAGACTAATTCTAAAGAGAAAAAAAGTTTAGGGACTATTCATGAGTTTAACTCTTAATATAATTATTACATATAGATCAATCCTCCTGCATAAATATTTCTCAGTTAGAGTTAGGTTTGTAATTTTGTCCCCTTCTCTAGTTAAGTCCTTATCCTCAAGTACCATTTATTCTCAAATGAACATATATTTATGATCTTATTCTAAATTAAGTGCTTTTACTATTCAAAACTCGAAGCAAAACTTAAGAGAACTCTTTTTTTTTTTATTTCATTATGAAGAAATAGATTTCATTTTGTAAATTAATATTTCTAGCGATTTACTTCATTATGTCCTCAACACACAAAGAATGAGATTTAATTGCATGAGAATCTTTGTTGAGTAAATCAAAAACATAACAAGAGTCTATTAATGACTTAAAATTGAGATCATTTTATATATAATAATTACTTTGATTAATTTTGAATACTTTGTGCACAAAGGGATTGAATCCTATATGATCGCATTATATAAAGTACCTTCATTATAATGACATGACTCTTCATTAACATTCCAAATAAGGCTATCTCATTTATAATGTAACGAACCATACTAGTATGAATCAATTAAAGATCCTAATTTTAAATATATATAACGGACAATTTAAATTATTATCTTCAAATATTATCATCTCGTATATAATATTTACATATAATATTTGAAGTCACATAAATAATCAATGAACCCTTCTGATATATAAAGCATCTAACATACATGCGTGTAAAATTACTATGGATAATTTAAATTGTTATATTTAAATATTATCCTCTCATAACATTTATATATAATATTTAAAGTCATATAAATAATAAAAGAATTTTTATGATATTTATAAGGCATAAAACACAATGCATAAAAATAAATAATGAAAAACTACTTTATTTAATCACATAGCAATATCATATTTATAAAGCATCAAACACAAATGCATATAAATATATTATGAAAAACGACTCTATTTAGTCGCATAGCAATAAGGTCAAAACATCAGATACAACTATGACATTGTTCTCAATAGTAATTTGATATAATATAAAAATCAATCATCTTTGCTATCTTCTAAAGAGCGTGCTTCAAAGCCGCCACCGGCTCTCTCCTCTAACGAGTATGGCATATAGGTTCCAAGTATTTTATCCCAATGAACAAAGAATATTTGAGAAAAGTTGTACTTGCTTCCATATAATTGATGATGAACAGCATGAAATGCAGTATTATTTCTAAAAAAAATGTGGAAGACGTTCCCGCGGGGAAGCCACGATCCACAGTGATCATCGACAATCTTGATGACGGCAAAGGAGAAGAAGAAGATGGAAGCTCGTGGAGACATGCCAGATAGGCGAACCGATAAGATGCCGCCAACTGTGTCAAGGATAAACCCCTCCAAGAAATGATGATAATGAGCTGCAAACGCGTAGTTAACAATGACGCGGTGATGTTGAGAATGGATGTGCTTGTACAAAAACTTATTTTGGTGCAAGATTCTGTGCCCGAAGTATTGCCAAGTATCCCAAAACAATGCTCCAACAACAAATTGTTGTGCCAAAACAATTAGAGAAGGCTTTGGACTTGTAACGTTCCCATTGTAATTTCCTGTGGCCTACACAATGACATAGATCCATCATAAACTAGTCTCATAGATGTACAGATCAAGATATATAAAACAATATGACATATTGATAATACAATGATTAGTAAAAGAAAAAAAAATAGCAATATGGATTAGCAAGAAATCACATCAGGAGAGGAGGGGCTGTAAAAGAGTAACTAAAATTAATGCAGGATATTATGAACAAGGACAATTTTGAAACAATGCAAAACCTTGTGGTTATGACCAAATCTTCTTTTTTATTTTTAGGGGGGGCTTTTTTATAGTTATGTGCAAACCTTTAGCAGAAGGCATGTTACAACAACTTCAAAGGTTTGATAAAGAAGAACCCCTTTGACGACGGTTCGTCTAGACACTAAGTTTTTCTCTTCCTCGTCAATCTTCAAGTGTAATCGGTACTTCTCAAACAAACCCAAAAGAACATAAATCCCAGAACAAACCCAATACAAAACGATAGGAAAAAAAGCTGCCAACATTTCATCAGAAACCTTAAAACCCATCTTCTCAAAAGACATTGATGAGTATAAATTGGATTTTTTATAAGAAGAAACCAATTCAAAAACCCAATATATAAAGAGATGCTTGTTTGCCTTGTTGGAATGAAGGTGGGAATGAGAAAATAAATTATGATAATTGAGGTGAAGGTAATCTAATATTAGCTGGCGTAAGATTACACATGTAGCCAAACGGGTTCGGCCGAAGCTCAATCATTTTAGACCGAGCCCCACTTGAGCTGGTCCGCTTAAAAACACAGGCCACCTTGAACCTCCAAGCTCGGTCAGGGCTGAGCTTCTAAGCTAAAAAAATTATTCAAAGTCCTTTTTCTTCAAAATTTTGCCTTTAAAAATTCAGGACAGCCAAGCTTTAGGGCCGGCCCCGCCTGAAATCTCTCTCCTATTTAAACTAAGAGTTCAACTCACATTTTTCACACTTTTCATTCTAAACCACAATAATCATACCACTTCCTTTCAATTTTAAGATCTAAAAATAGGGGGAAAAATCTAGCAATAATTGAAAATAATTATATAGCATGATACAAAAATAATAATAAAAAATAAAAAATACTCCAAATTGGCAAATTTTTATCAAACTTAAAACTTTTTTTTTAATTTTCATTTTTTAAAACAAAAAAAATAACGCAATATCAATATTATTTTTTCTACACCTATTAATTTGTCATCATATTCTGTCATTCGGTTTTATGTGAGGGCTCCAGGGTAGCAAGGCCTTAGAAGAAAAAATAGAAAATTTATCTTTAAGATTGTATGAATCTAGACATTTATCTCTTATTTTTAATAAATATCATTTTATTAGTATAATTATTTGACTAAACAAATTATAAATCAAAAGTAAAGATTAAAAATCCTGACTCATATATTTTTAAGAAAAATAGTAGGAAATAGGCCAATATGAAAAGCTTAAGAAAGTATATAGGCTAATTTTTAGTTATAGAAATTAATAGGTCATAACTTGTCAAGTTATGATTCATAACCAGATAAGTTATGAACAAACTTGTCAAGTTATGGTTCATAACCAGACAAGTTATGGACGAAAATAGCAATCTGGCCTATTTATTAACTTATGTAAACTATTGGCCTATTAATTTTAATTCATCTCAAGTCTTGGCCTATTTCCCTCTTTCTCCCTATTTTTAATGAGTATTTATCAAAATTACTCGTCTTGGAATTCAACTTAAGCCCACGTCATTTTGCATATAGCATTCAGGATGGACCAAATAATTTATTTATTTATTTATTTATATTTTTTGTAAATTTTTTTAGTTTTGCTGTAAATCAAAGCACACCATACAAAATTAAAGAAAAAAAAGCAAAAAAGCAAAATAAATTAAGAAAAAGTAAAAAAAAAAAAAATTTTACACAGACACTCCCTATACTTTTTAAATTTAGCAATATAGTCTTTAATCTTTTTTTTCTTGCACTCAATCCTGTCATCTTGAAATTCTTTTACATTTTTGAGTTGATTTTTTACATTTTTGAGTTAGGGTGATTTGAGTGATGATCTTGAGTTGAGTTTGAGTTATAACTTGAGTTGAAGTTGTAACTTGAGATTGTATTTGGATGTGAACATTTGAGTTATGATTTGAATTGATAATCTATTTGAATTTGTGTTTAGATGGGTCAAAACTTAAATTTGTATTTAGATAGTATTTTAATAAAAACTCAATGGTTATGAAAAATTTTAATAGGGTATATGGGTGAGATTTTATTCGTCTTTTTATTGTGAATGAATAGAAAAAAAAATCATCTCAATAGAATTAAAACGAAAAAGTTATGACATTTTTAAGAATAAAAAAAATATTGTTCATTAACTTGATTTTGAGTTTATGAACTTGAGTTGAAGGAGAAACTTGAACTCGAGTCTAACCCTAAACTCGAGTTCAAATTCAAGTTTTATAAAATAACATGAACTTAAATAAAGTTGTAACTCAAATTCAAACTTTTTCTGAGTTTCGTTGCAAAAAATAACCCTGCAATTAACACAAAATTCAAAACGGCGTTAGGGCTTTTGACAGAATTAAACACGTGATTGCCACTGGAGGGCATTTGAGGTCATTTTGCAGCCCTCACCACCTCTCAGCGTACCGCCCCTTGCCCACCTCCGGCGTTGCAGCCACCTCCAACACCCCCGAAGAGTGTTCCATCTTCATCTCCAATCGCGAACATATCTCGCAAAATGAAATTTATTTATCTCTTGCTTTCTTCTTCTCTGAAACAAAGCCAGCCTCAAATGACGCCATCAAGAGTTTTCTGAATCACCAGTAGCTCCACCTAGCACAAGAATTTGACGCAATGCTTGAATCCAAGTGGGGTTTTCCTCTTCAACAATTTAATTTGTGGTGTTGTTGTCACAGTGTTTTTTTTTTTGTTTTTGGGTCTGTCATACTCAAACTATCAAAAGCCCAAACCAAAGCTCTCAACTGAGGAAACTCAGATTCATCATTCACATGTGGGACATGAATATCATAGCAATATGATCATATTCTGATAAAACCAAGCTTCAGATTTGGGACTATTAATCTGGGTTTCTTTCTATTCTGCCAAAAAGAAATTAAAAAAAAAATGGGTTTCTTTCTTTTCGTCTAAAATTCAGACAAAGGTTTTAGCCTCCAAAAAATTCCCCTAAAGTAGAGGGCTTCTTTTTGTGTCGCCGCGTCAGAATGTCAAAAACTCTAGGCGCTCATAACTGGTTTGTTATCTATTTTGTTATGTTCTTTCGATCATCAGCATCATATTTGGTTGGTATTCAAGTTTTGATTATTATTATTATTATTATTATTATTATTATTATTATTATTATTTTGCTTGAAAAAAGAGACAGGGAGAGGGAAAGCTTCAAATTAAATTTTAAAGGCAGAGGATGTGTATCTCTTCTACTTTCTTTCTATATATATGATAATTGTGATCCTTATTTGAGTGGTCTTGATGGCTGTAAGATCTCCAGAATTCTTCTAGTTTCTTTTGTTAGTTTATTTTCAATTTAAAGAAAAAAGTCTTAAAAAAAAAAAAGAAAAAGGCTTGAAAACTTCACATCGTTTTGGATTTGGTATTAATTGCAAAGAATTTCAAGTTGAAGAGGTTGATTGTCAGAAAAAAAAAGATTAAAGATTAAATTGTTAAATTTAAAAAGTATAGGGGGTGTCCATAAAAAAACTAAAAAAAAAAAGTGTAGCATGGATAAAGGTGAGCACGAGATGTAACCAAGTTTGACTCGTATATATATGTTTGTACAGATGTTTCAATCAAAATGTTACACTGCAGAGGAGACATTTTAAAAAAGAAAAAAAAAAGGTAAAAATAAAAACGAATCAAAAGAAAAAAAAGGTTAAATTATGTAAACATTATAAAAAGCTTTCCTTTTTTTTCTTTTTCCATTTTACTCAAATAATATGGAAGTTTCGTTAGGAGAAAGCAAAAGAAAAGGAAGAAAGTTTTTCTTTAGCTTGTTAGTAGTGTGTGAATCTTTATTGAGTGAATAAAAAGACATAACATTACAAGCATGAGTTTATTAACCACTCATGATTAAGATCATTACATATATGGTCATCACTTTGATTAAGTTTGAACATTCTATCTCCTAATAGAAATTATTAGAGATCCAAATTTAATCTTGCTCTAGTCTTATATTATCACATTGTACAAAGTACCTCCATTTCAATGATTCTTCATTGACAGTCCGGCCGTCGAGAATTTTAAACCAATAGGGGTACATACAAGAACTAAATTTATTAACTAAAATTATTGAATATTTGGATAAAATATCAAATTTTTAGTAATAATATATGAGTGAATATTATGCATACTCTAAATAATATCATATATATGAAGAATAAAATATAAATATAAACATTGAAACTAATCACCTAAAATAAAAAAAAATAAAAATATCTAAAATGTTTTATGACATCTTAGAAATTTAAATACTTTAGAAATTTTAAAATGTTTATATATCTGTTAATTGTGATTATAAAGCTAAAAATAATGTTGGATAGCAATCAAACTTTTGATGATGAAGTAACGAGAACTATGGCCAGAGGAAAGCAAGAGACAAGGAAAAAGAAAAGAAAAAAAAAGTTGAGATGGAAGAGAAAAAAGAAAAAAAGATTATAATGGTGGATGTATGTAGGTCTGTGAAAAACGGGAAAGAAATACCAAAAAGGATAAAGGAAAGAAAATAAAAAAAAAATGGATAGAGAAGAAAGAAAACAAAAAAAAAAAAAAACAAAAAAAAAAAAAAAAAAACAAGCTGAAAGAGTTCAATTAAGCCCAAATAGCTTAAATAAAAGCACAAAAACTTCAGCGTGGCCAATGCTCAAAGGGGCACAAGCCGAAAGCTGATAAATGTATAGTTTGTTTTCTTTTCTTCGGTGGGGGTCTCAACGTGCATCAGTCATTGTACTCTGGATAAGATTATTCCATTCATAATGAAAACGAGCCATACTGGTAATAAACAATTAAAGATTCCTACTTTAGTTATATGTTACGTACAATTTAAATCATTATTCTTAAATATTAATCTCTCGTATGTAATACATATATACAATATTTAAGATCACATAAACAATCAAGAGAAATTTGATGATATTTATAAAGCATCAAACATACATACATACTATGAATAATTCAGATTACTACAAGATAACACTTACATATAATGAAAAACTACTTTATTTATTTAAATAACAATAAAGTCATAACATCATATGCTTTTAGGGTATTATTCTTAATAATAGTTTGATAATGTTATCATATAACAATCACTCATTTTTGTTATCTTCTAAAGCATGTGCTTCAAAGCCTCCACCGGCTCTCTTTTCTAACGAGTAAGGCATATAGGTTCCGAGTATTTTATCCCAATGAACAAAAAATATCGTGGAGAAGTTGTACTTGCTTCCGTACAGCTGATGATGAACAGAATGAAATACGGTATTGTTTCCAAAAAGAATGTGGAAGGGAAGCCACGATCCGCAGTGATCATCGACAGCCTTAATGACAGCAAAAGAGAAGAAGAAGATGGAAGCTCGTGGAGACATGCCAGATAGACGAATCGCTAAGATGCCGCCAATTGTGTCTTGGGTAAACCCCTCCAAGAAATGATGATAATTAGCTGCAAACGGGTAGTTAACAATGACGCGGTGATGTTGAGCATGGATGTGCTTGTACAAAAACTTGTTTTGGTGCATAATTCTGTGCCCAAAGTACAGCCAAGTATCCAAAACCAACGCTGCAATCACATATTGTCGTGCCAACACAATTAGTGAAGGTTTTGGACCCACATCTACGTCCCCACTGTGATTCCCTGTGACCTACACAATAACAAGGATTTCATCGTAAATTGGTCTCCCAGTACAGATCAAAATATCTAAAACAATATAAACATAGATCTCGTTCATTTCACCGATTCGAGTTTTTAATTCTAAATTTTTACAGTAAAAAGTTCTCAGAAAATATCACATCTAACTTTTTCTGCTACAATGAAAAGCTCTCAAAAAATATCACATCTCAACTCGAATTGAAAACTCGAATCTGCGAAATGAACGAAACTAGCCATAGAGATAATACCTTTAAGTGTGGGTTATCCAGTGAAAACGATTACAGAAGGGGAAAAAAAATAGCAATATGGATTAGCAGGAAATCACATAAGAAGAAGTGGGGCTGAAAAGAGCAGCTGAAATTAATGCATGAGGTTATCCACAAGGACAACTTTGAAACAATGCAAAACCATGTGATTATTAACAGATCTTTTTATCTTTGCTCTCTTTTGTAGTTATTTCATACCTTGAACAAAAGGCATGTGACAATAACTTGAAAGGTTTGATAAAGAAGAACTCCTTTGATGACAGTTCGTCTAGAAACCAAATTTTTCTCCTCATCATCAATCTTCAAATGTAATCGGTACTTTTTAAACGAACCTAAAAGTATATAAATTCCAGAACAAACCCAATATAAAATGATAGGAACAAAAGCTGCCAACAAGTCATCAGAAACCACGAAATCCATCTTCCCAAAAGCCGTTTCCGATTAGAAACTGGATTTTTTTTTTTATATATATAATAAGAAACTAGATTCAAAAACGTAATATATAAAAAGATGTATGTTTGCGTTGTTGGAATGAAGGTGGGACGAGAAAACAAATCATTATATATATATATTTTAATAAAAGTGAATGTTTGTGGCAGTTAGGCTGATCTGGTGTGAGATTACTACGTGGCTTACGTATGTGGCTTCAAATGTGCGTCCGGATTTTGAACTGGGATTTGATGTGTTTTTGTGAACTAGAAGTGAACTAGAAAGAGATGTAAAGTAATTGATTTGTACTTAAGTAAGGCTCTGACGGATTTGGTCTGATGGGCCTTATTTTTGTGAACAGTAAAAATCAACAAATCATTTTTGTTAGTTAAAGGTTTCCTTTTTTTTCTTTTTTACTCAAATAATAATAAAGTTTTACTCAAATCAACAAATCACTTTTTGTAAGGCTCTAACGGATTTGGTCTAGTAGGCTTTGTTTCTGTGGACAATAAAAGTCGATAAATCACTTTTGCCGACTAAAATTTCCTCTTTTTTTTTCTGTCTTTTTACTCAAATAATAAGAAAGTTTCTATTGCGTAATGCAAAAGAAAAATAAGAAAGTTTCTCATTAGTAGAGTCCAAAAGAACTAATAATTGGCAAGATTTTTTTTGAGATTGGGTTCCAACAATGATTTGATACATTAAAAAAAAGAAGTAATAGCATAAATATCTATCATGGAGGGTCTGGTTCTAAATATGTTTACTATTATATAATATTACCAAATTATCTATTTGTGTTTTATAAGGCAAATAAATTACCCGGTATACCTTTATGGATTATTTTAGGCATTTTCTATGAATGGCGAGTTTTTTATTTTGTGGGTTATTTATAATGATAATATTAAGATATTTTTCTGATAATTTTAACATTTGACTTTCCTATGCAGTTCCATTTAATATTTTGTAATCAATTATTTGATTTAATCTTGATATAGTATTTTAATTAGTAGTTTCCCTCTGCTTAAAAAAAAAAAAAACAAACAAAAAAAAAACTCGTGGCTGGTATTTCTTACCATAATGGTCCGTTGCCTTGGGAAGGGAATATCATCAAAATTTTAGTTGCTTCTTGGTGCTTTATTGACAGAGATATTCAATACAAGAGGTTGTATTATGAGTTTTGATTTTCTATTTTCAATATGGTTTGTGATATCCTCTTTTTCTAATTCATTTGTTGTTGATGAATTTGTTAATGTTTGTTTATCTTTTTTTTTTAACCCCATTTTTTATCTTCCATTTTTAAAAAACTTGCTGGGTTTGATTGTTGTGTTGTTGTAAACTATTATATTCATTCTTATGAATGATATCATCAATTTTTTTTAAGGGAATAGCATAATTTCAATAAAAAGCCATTAAAGGGCTAAGATACAGGACAAAACTAGAGTCAAGAACTGGGTGCAACTCACATGACTAGACAATACAAACGCACTTCTTACTCAATAACAGAGAGAACTTCTCCAACTAGTGGCAATGTAACAGGGTTCGGCTACTTCGAAACGACTCTAGATGAATCACATCTCAATTCTAAAATGAGATACATAACTCGAACTTAAAGCGGAGGGAGACCACCCTCTAGCCAAGTCCTAACGCCGATAGATGGGGACACCATCACCGTTATTATAACATAAATAAAAGCATAAAACAGAAAAAACTCTACAAAGATCCTAGAAATCAAACTACAAAATCGAACCCCTCAACGCTAGAGGTATGTGAAACACAGTAGGAATGGCACTGGAGAAAAGCTCCTGAAACGGTGATAAAAGCATTGGAGACCCACGCGCCGCCGCCAACGAGCGGCGACTGCCACACACTCCAGACCACCTTCCTCGCCTCCCTTCCACGATCTAGTTCTCGGAGTTTCAAAGGAATTCCGTGGCGAATGCGTCCTAGGTCTAACGTAGGAGACCAGAAACTGCTTCTCAATGAACAACTCTAATTCGGTGACTATTCACACTTCCGTTGGCACGAACCCGACGCCATTGGCACTTCTGCAATCTCTCCGACGAACTTTAGGGGCCATCAGCCCGACGCATAGCTGGACCACCGACCCCATAGACCTCCTCCTCTGAGTTTGTTGCAGAGCACTTCTCTCTAGAACTCAGACGGCTAGGATTTTTATGTTTTTTTTATAATGATATCATTATTATAAAAATGAAATATCTTTTTTTGTGAGTTCATGTTTCATGTATTTTTATATTATTTGAGTTTTGAGATTTCTTACAAATTTTATATTTAGTCTGTTTCGTAATGTAACTCTTTTAAATAATGAAAATTCTTATTGTTGTGTACATTTTCATGTATCTTATGTATTACAAGTTCTTTTCAAAATGATGTTATCATTAAGTTAATGAAAACACATATTTATTTGTACATTATCATGTTTCTTCTACATTTTACTTTTGATATTCATTTTTCTTAATTACGATTGATTTATATATTGAAAACTTTTATATTCATTTTTTTTTCATAAGCATATCATCATTGTAATAGTGAAACAACTTTCTTATGAATACATGTCTCGTGGTTTGATTCTTATGTTGTTGCAAACTATTATATTAATTCTTATTTATAATGATATCATCACTACAATAATGAAACATTTTTTTATGAGTTCATGTCTCGTGTATTTTTATTGTTTTAGATTTGAGATTTCTTGCAAAAATTTATATATAGTTTGTTTTGTAATAATAGCTCTTTTAAATAATGAAAATACCTATGATTGAGTACATTTTCATGTATCTTACTTATTATAAGTTCTGTTTTAAAATGATATTATCATTAAGTTAATGAAAATGCATATTCGTTTGTACATTATCATGTTTCTTTATATTTTACTTTTGATATTTATTTTCCTAATGCCGATTGATTTATATATTGCAAACTTTCATATTCATTTTTGTTCATAAGCATATCGTCATTTTAATAATGAAACAACTTTCTTATAAGTACATATCTCATGTATTCTTATTCTTTTAGATTTTTTATAAATTTTTATATTTAGTCTGTTTCATAATGATATCTCTGTAAAAATGATGAAAATGCTTATTTTTTTATGAGTGCATTTTCAAGCTTCTTTTGTATTGTAAGTTCTGTTTCGTACACAATTAAAAATAAAAATTTCAAACGTTAAAAACAGAAATTATAATTTAAGTATACCTTCTAAATAGACTTTAATTACATTTTAAAGAAAATTTATGCGGATACAATTTAAAAGGAATCTAATGGAATTATGGAAGTCCACTTTGATATAAAACATGGAAATTTTTTTTCGAGCACTGATTACTCAAAATATACATCTCTTTTACACGCCGTCCAGTTCTACACAGAATTCTATAAAAGGCTCAATTTTCATAACGGATATCCAAAGTAAAGCCATTCAAAATCTTTTTCATCAAAACCAATAATATACTTAATAAGAATAAATTCATTTAAAACTTAACATGATGCACTCGTGACTCTGGCTTTATCTCGCATGCATCCGTTCCGAACTCTTCCATTCTAAACCTTGTTCTTACCGTTATCTGTAACATCAACATATCTCCATAAACGAATGCTTAGTAAGTACATATTTAATCTCAAAAAAAAAAAAAAAATCTCGTTATCATCACATTATTCATCATAATTCATGATATTTATGAAAAGCACCATCAAACTCTATTTAAAAACCGACTTTAAAATTTAATAGTTAGAGTCTTGCCGTTATAACTTCAAAATGCGCTAAGCAACGACAAGAGTAGGGTAACTATTCTCAAACCTATTGAGACAATCCGCTGACTAAAAACCATCAAAAATCTGCTCACCATATATCATCATTCTATAATCATCATCATCAAGGGTATACAGCACCTTTTAAAAAACATTTAAAATCATAAAAAATATATATATATGTATATAAGTTTCATCAAAACTTTCATCAATATAATAAGAAAAGTAAGTAAAAACATGAATTCATCATCATCATGAATTCATCATATCATCAATATACACTTCTCAATCTATCATCATCGTCAAGTCATCATAATCATTAAAATATAATTTTGTTCATATTACAAGTGAGAACGTACTTATTTGATATTTTTTTTTTAAATTAATGACATCACGTCTCAAGATCCTCGGTGTACGCATATATAGAAGTACTTGAGTCATATGATCATAAATTTTTGTGTCACATCATAAATTAAACAAAATTACTAACATCATTAAAAAAAGGTCATATAACTTCTTAAACCTTCATATTATATCATATCATACCAACAATTATAACAACTTTTATCATCAAAATCATCACGCTCTAACTTAAAAACTTAAACACAAATTCTTAACGTTGTGAACTCAGTCCCTTTTGAAAATCATAATAAATCCCACAAGGATCCCATCAAGCTGAATTTGAAGTGATCAGCACGCCACACAGGGAATCTCACTGTGTAGCATCAGAAATCTCTCCTCCTGCCTGATTTTGTTTTATCTCCAAAAAATTCAATTTTCTATTTTTGGAAAAAGCTTAGTTTTAAAGACAGAAATATTCCAATTCAAATTTAGAAAGTTGCAGATAAAAAACTGGATGCCACAGGGACTCTTTCTCTGTAACAGGCTTGCACAGTGAGGTTCCACCACATTTTTTCATCCAATTTTAATTTATTTGAATAATCACAATTATTTAAATCATTTAATTAATTTTAAATTAATTAAATGGTCCTCTAAAATTGACCACATAATATCAGAGTGTGTAATAATCTAGAATCACCGAAAACCTATGAATCTCCTACGTCAAAACCTAATATGAAACTACTATTTTTTTCGCTCTCATATATATATATGTGTGTGTGTGTGTGTGTGTGTGTGTGTGTATGCCTCGGCAACATAGGTGACTTCGGCTTTTATATATTATATAATAAAATAAAAATATAATATCTTAATATATATATATATAAACAGATATATAGTATTAT